AAAGTGATTGTGAATGCAATACTTTGATGAGTATTATTCAATGGTAATGGTGAAATCGGATGATGCTAAAATCTGGTTCTCGATTTTAAAATCTAAGCCCTGCTAAAATCCACATATATTTTTTAATTATAAATTCTAGCCCTAAATCCTAATCTAATCCTAAAAAAAAAGTGGTAAAAAACATCCCAAAAAAATTTTAAAATTTTATATCAAAATAGGTCCAAATTTCAGCATCATCCGTGATAATATATAAAGTCATCAAAATATATTTTATTTAAGAAAAATAATCGAATTAACAAAAGTCATCAAAAAAAGCTTTAAACATGACAACCCAACCTATCATTCGTTCAAACGATGTTCATAAATTAGTTAATTCTTTGTCAAATACAGACTTAGTGGTGAAGAAGTTAAATTTACTAAAGAGATAAATGGGCTTTTCGTCATGATATACATAGGATAATATAAGAAATCATAGTAATTCTTTTCTAATATTTAACTATGGCCTTGTTTTGAATAATATCCTTAAGTGATAAGCATAGTTTAAATACAGATAGTTATCATTATTGATTGTTTTCATAGGAAATCTGGATTTCAATTTACAAAATTTAAGAAATAATGCATAATACAGTAATATTAGTGAAAATTATTTTTAATGTCAAAATCCATGATAATTGAAATTTGTTTAATAATATATTGTCTAGGATTCTTTTTTTTTTTTAAAAAAAAAACAAAAGAATTAATCTTCGCAATAATAATGTTTATATTGAATTTTGGCCCAATTTGCTTGACTCATTAAAAAATAACCTTGTAATTAAGGCAACCAACGAATACACATAGTTATTGTTTTTTTTCATAGAAAATCTGAATAAAAAAAGAGTCAATAAAACAATTCAATAACATATTAAAATTTCATTTGAAATTTTTTATTTGCTCAATGCAGATAAAGCAATGGAAGCCTGCAATAAATAGTAAAACTCAAGAGTTTCATATGTAGCAAATGATATATCATTTTATTAATTTGTTTTCATATCAGTTTTTTTAAAATTTTCGTGTGATAGGCATTATTATTTATTATTTATACTGTGGAGCTTCACGCAACCCGTGTTTAAAATTTAATTAGAAATTTAGTTAAATAGAAGATTTTATAGCTTATAATGTTATCTAATAAGTAATAAAATTTACATCTTGTTTCAATTTTTCAATTCTTTTGTCTTTTGATTCAATTTCGATTTCCATTTGATTTACTTGATTATTCAATTCCTTCAATTCCTTTTATCAAGTTCCATTTGTTCGATATCATTTGTTATTTAGAAATTTTATTTTCAAATTCAACAAATTCGATTACTTTATCTTGTTTAATGCTAAGTTGATTCTGAAGAGATGAAATTTCTTCATGGTTGGCTCTAAGTTGACCTTTAAGAGATGAAATTT